GTCAGCTTTCAGCTGCTGCAGGGGGAGCCATACAGGGGATCGGTTCCAGTAATCGCCCCTCCGCTGTTCCAACCAACCTCTCTGCCATCACCCAGCTGCCTGGGCCCCCTTGCTGGCCTGGGCCCCCCACTGGTGATACCCCCTTATCCACAGCCCTGTCTGCAGTACTCACATGAGGTAGTTTTTGGTGCGCAAGGACTGTGATGTGGGTCAATTATTGGAACCGATCCCCTGTATGTCTCCCCCTGCAGCAGCTGAAAGCTGACAGGAGGGAGAGGAGAAGAAGTCAGCTTTCAGCTGCTGCAGGGGGAGCCATACAGGGGATCAGTTCCAGTAACTGACCCACATCACAGACCTTGCACACCATATGTTTCCCCCCTGCTGTCCAGTTCCCACCCCCACAGTGCTGGCAACTTCCCTCCTTTACTTTCCACCGGCAGCTGCAGGCACTAGGACAATAGGACCCTTTAGGATGGAGAGTGGGGGAAGGTTTCAGTAAATATGTCCCATTTACCAGCCCCTTCCTTGAATGAACACAGTGAGCGATCAGTACCCAGCACTCGCTGCGTTCATTCATAACTGAAGTACAGTAAACTGTGGGGATTTTTTGCATGGGGGGCCCTGCCAGGTTGGCTGTATGGGGCCCCGTGGTTTCTAACAGCAGCCCTAACTGCAGTTGCTCAACCCCCCCCCCAAAATAAGTAAATCTCTAGTGACAACTGTAGTTGCCAGTCACTTGAGGCGGGTCAGACTTCTAAATCTGTGTTTTTTGAAGCCCAATTTATCTTTGTTTCCCACGTCAGCACCGGGCCCTTTTCTGACTCTTCTCTCCTACGTGTAAAAATCGACATTTTTGTGTGCTAGAAAATGACTTAGAAACCCCAAACATGATATATTTTTACGCAGAGGCCCTGGAGAATAAAACGGCGGCTGTAGCAATTTTTTTTATATCACACGGTATTTTCACAGCTCTTTTTCAAAGGCAACCTGCGGTCAGGCGCATTGCTTTGGCCAATCACAATGCACTGTCAGAGCGTGGTGCATTGTGGGGCGCGTCGGGCGGGCACACCGAACACACGAACGGCCGATGTTCGAGTGGAACGTACGTTTGACTTGGACATCAAGCCCAGCTCTAGTTACCAGTTTAGAGTTACACGGGAGGTCTGGTGCTAGAATTATTTCTCTCGCTCGGACGTTCGCGGCGATACCTCAAATGTTTGGCGCGATCGCAGTTTACATATGCATGCAGGACCTACGTATGCATTTGCCTTTGTACACGTGCATGGGGGGATGGGGGACCTTTAGTTGTTTTTTTTTTTTTAATCAACTCTTTGCTGAGAGATATGGGGTCTGTTAGACCCCAGATAGCTCCTCTGCCCAAGATCGGCGTTCCGGTCCTCAGTCATCTCTCTGATTATTTATTTATTACAGGTACTTCTATAGCGCCGTCAATTTACGCAGTGCTTTACATATATATTGTACATTCACATCAGTCCCCGCCCCCGAGGAGTGTACAAGCTAAGGTCCCTGACTCTTTACTGAGAGATGTGGGGTCTATTAGACCCCAGATCTGTCCTCTGCCCAAGATCGGTTTGATCCGATGCTTTCACAGGCCGGTAACAGCCCGTTTTTCATTAGCCAAAACCAGAGACAAAATACTCATCGCTTCCAGTTTCTTGGACCATGGAGATGATTGGGGGCGTTCTGGTCCTCGGTCATCTCTCTATTTATTTATTACTGGTACTTATATAGCGCCGTCAATTTACGAAGCGCTTTACATATATATTGTGCATTCACATCAGTCCCCGCCCCCGAGGAGCATACAATCTAAGGTCCCAGGCTCTTTTACTGAGAGATCTGGGGTCTATTTGTTTCAGGTACTTATATAGCGCCGTCAATGTACGCAGCACTTTACATATATATTGTACATTCACATCAGTCCCCGCCCCCGAGGAGCGTACAATCTAAGGTCCCAGGCTCTTTACTGAGAGATCTGGGGTCTATTTGTTTCAGGTACTTATATAGCGCCGTCAATTTACGCAGCGCTTTACATATATGTTGTACATTCACATCAGTCCCCGCCCCCGAGGAGCGTACAAGCTAAGGTCCCTGACTCTTTACTGAGAGATCTGGGGTCTATTAGACCCTAGATCTCCCCTCTGCCCAAGATCAGTTTGATCCGATGCTTTCACAGGCCGACAACAGCCCTTTTACATTAGCCGAAACCAGAGACAAAATACTCATCGCTTCCAGTTTCTTGGACTATAGAGATGATTGGGGCGTTCCGATCCTCAGGCATCTCTCTGATTATTTATTTCAGGTCAATTTACGCCGCGCTTTACATATATATTGTACATTCACATCAGTCCCCGCCCCTGAGGAGCGTACAATCACACTGACACATACTAGGGCCAATTTTAGACAGGACCCGATTAACCTACCAGCATGTCTTTGGAGTGTAGGAGGAAACCAGAGTACCTGGAGGAAACCCACGCAGGCACAGGGAGAACATGCAAACTCCAGGCAGGTGGTGGCGTGGTTGGGATTTGAACCAACGACCCGTTTAGCCACTGTGCTGCCTGATGTCTGATTTGTTCTTAGAAAACTCGCATTTCTCTGTAATCATCTACAGTCTGAGTCAACCCTTCAAACCTATAAAAAAAAAAAGTTTATTTTGCCCAAAAAAGATGAAAAATTCAGGAATTAAAAAACTTTTTTTGAAAAATCCATACGGTGCCTCGATTATTAACCGGTGGAAGGGCCAACTTCAGTCCCGGGCTCCCCGGTGGGATGGGTGACCCCTGTAAAAACGATCCAGCGGCTGACTGGCGGCATCACAACCTCACCGACTACACAATACATCACCATATCCTTACTCAACTGAAGAGTCTGGAGAGCGGTCTGTTCTTGTGTACTAACCCATTGCAACCAATCAGAATTCGGTTTAATGTAGTCCCGTCAATAAATGCATTCTGATTGGATTTTGTGAATGGCTGCCGTCTGCTCACCATCGCTGCACTTTGTAGTTTCTTACTAAATACTTTTATCGCCTTCGGCCAAAAAAAAAACTAAGTAAAACTTTCCCTTTTAATCACTTTTAGCTTTTTCGTGTTTTTTTTTTTTTTCCGGAAGCAATCGTCATTCTGAGCCGGTCCTCAGTTTCTTGGACCATAGAGATGATTGGGGACGTTCCAGTCCTCGGTCATCTCTCTGATTATTTATTTATTTCAGGTCAATTTACACAGCACTTTACATATATATTGTACATTCACATTAGTCCCCGCCCCCAAGGAGCGTACAATCTACGGTCCCTAACTCATATTCATACATACACATACTAGGGACAATTTAGACAGGAGCCAATTCACCTATCAGCATGACTAGAGACAAAATACTCATCGCTTCTAGTTTCTTGGACCATAGAGATGATTGGGGACGTTCCAGTCCTCGGTCATCTCTCTGATTATTTATTTCAGGTCGATTTACGCAGCACTTTACATATATTGTACATTCACATCAGTCCCCCGCCCCCCGAGGAGCGTACAATCACACAGACTCATACCATGGCCAATTTTAGACAGGATCCAATTAACCTACCAGCATGTCTTTGGAGTGTGGGAGGAAACCAGAGTGCCCAGAAGGAACCCACACAGGCACAGGGAGAACATGCAAACTATAGGCAGTGGTGCCATGGCTGGGATTCGAACCAACGAGTCCTGCCAGGCGCAAGCAGGGGTGGACTGACCATTTGGAAACTCGGGCACTGCCTGAGGACCCGGGGTCAGTAGGGGGCCCCATGAGATGCCCCTGGGTACCTTTTTCATAGGTTTTTTTGAGTTTGGGCAAGGACACAGGGGCCCCCTTATCCCCTATTGCACGGGGGCCCCATGAGTTGTCAGTCCGCCCCTGGGTGGAAGTTCTAACTATTTAGCCGCTGTGCTGCCCAATGTCCAGTTTGTTCTTAGAAAACTCGCATCGGGTCAACCCTTCAAACATGAAAAAAAAAAACGTTTATTTTTCCCAAAAAAGATTAATTTAGAATTCAGGAATAAAAAAAAATCCCCACGGCGCCTCGCCAGGCAATCACACAGATACATACTAGGGCCAACGTCAGTCCTGGGCTCCCCGAGGGATGGGTGACCCCTTTCCATCACCTGCAAAACGATCCCGCGGCTGACTGGCGACATCACCGATAGACTACACAATACATCACCATATCCTTACCCAATCACAATTCGGTTTAATGTAGTCCCGTCAATAAATGCATTCTGATTGGACGCTGTTGATGGCTGGCGTCTGCTCGCCATCTCTGCACTTTGTAGTTTCTTACTAAATACTTTTATTGCCTTTGGCCAAAAAAACAGATAAAAACTTTCCCTTTTAATCATTTTTAGCTTTTCTGTGCTTTTTTTTTTTGAAAGCAATCGTCATTCTGAGCCGGTCCTCATCATTTATTTATGTGCGAGGCTGAGATTAGCGGGGAGGATAAATGACATCGGGGTTATGATTTACACAGCACTTTTCTACAAATTAATATCTGGTAGCCGATGAATCTTTCTGCCCTCAGCAATCTCCTCTGATAGAAAGCACACCCGCCGATCACCCGGGGAGGAGAGAAAAAAAAAAAGGCGATCCATTGCCGCCGGCCGCTGTGAAGGCTTCAGGAGGTTTTCTTTTTCAACTATTATCATCAAAATGTTCAAAACATGTATAGAAATATCACCAGAAAATGATTGGATATCAAACCTGTTCTAACACTCTATGAGGGATTTTCTCTGACTTCCTGTTGTGTCCCCAAGACAGGAAGTAGAAGGAAATCTCCTTAGTGGATCACAGTCTAATTCAGACTTTTCAGGTCTTGGAGAGGCCCTGCTAATAAAAATTTATTGGGGGTCACTGGAAAGAATGCTCCTTACATTGGGGGGTCAGTGGGAAGAATGTCCCTTACATTGGGGGTCACTGGAAAGAATGCTCCTTACATTGGGGGGTCAGTGGGAAGAATGTCCCTTACATTGGGGGTCAGTGGGAAGAATGTCCCTTACATTGGGGATCAGTGGGAAGAATGTTCCTTACATTGGGGGTCAGTGGGAAGAATGTCCCTTACATTGGTGATCAGTGGGAAGAATGTCCCTTACATTGGGGGTCAGTGGGAAGAATGTCCCTTACATTGGGGATCAGTGGGAAGAATGTCCCTTACATTGGGGGTCAGTGGGAAGAATGTCCCTTACATTGGGGGTCAGTGGGAAGAATGTCCCTTACATTGGAGGTCAGTGGGAAGAATGTCCCTTACATTGGGGGGCCAGTGGGAAGAATGTCCCTTACATTGGGGGTCAGTGGGAAGAATGCCCCTTACTTTGGGGGTCAGTGGGAAGAATGTCCCTTACATTGGGGGTCAGTGGGAAGAATGTCCCTTACATTGGGGATCAGTGGGAAGAATGTCCCTTACATTGGAGATCTGTGGGAAGAATGTCCCTTACATTGGAGGTCAGTGGGAAGAATGTCCCTTACATTGGAGGTCAGTGGGAAGAATGTCCCTTACATTGGTGATCAGTGGGAAGAATGTCCCTTACATTGGGGGTCAGTGGGAAGAATGTCCCTTACATTGGGGGGTCAGTGGGAAGAATGTCCCTTACATTGGTGATCAGTGGGAAGAATGCCCCTTACATTGGTGATAAGTGGGAAGAATGTCCATTACATTGGGGGTCAGTGGGAAGAATGTCCCTTACATTGGGGGTCAGTGGGAAGAATGTCCCTTACATTGGTGATCAGTGGGAAGAATGTCCCTTACATTGGAGGTCAGTGGGAAGAATGTCCCTTACTTTGGGGATCAGTGGGAAGAATGTCCCTTACATTGGTGATCAGTGGGAAGAATGTCCCTTACATTGGGGGGTCAGTGGGAAGAATGTCCCTTACATTGGGGGTCAGTGGGAAGAATGCCCCTTACTTTGGGGGTCAGTGGGAAGAATGTCCCTTACATTGGGGATCAGTGGGAAGAATGTCCCTTACATTGGAGATCTGTGGGAAGAATGTCCCTTACATTGGAGGTCAGTGGGAAGAATGTCCCTTACATTGGGGGTCAGTGGGAAGAATGTCCCTTACATTGGAGGTCAGTGGGAAGAATGTCCCTTACATTGGGGGTCAGTGGGAAGAAATGTCCCTTACATTGGGGGGTCAGTGGGAAGAATGTCCCTTACATTGGTGATCAGTGGGAAGAATGCCCCTTACATTGGTGATCAGTGGGAAGAATGCCCCTTACATTGGTGATCAGTGGGAAGAATGCCCCTTACATTGGGGGTCAGTGGGGAAGAATGTCCCTTACATTGGGGGTCAGTGGGAAGAATGTCCCTTACATTGGGGGTCAGTGGGAAGAATGTCCCTTACATTGGGGGTCAGTGGGAAGAATGTCCCTTACATTGGGGGTCAGTGGGAAGAATGTCCCTTACATTGGGGGTCAGTGGGAAGAATGTCCCTTACATTGGGGGTCAGTGGGAAGAATGTCTCTTACATTGGGGGTCAGTGGGAAGAATGTCCCTTACATTGGTGATCAGTGGGAAGAATGTCCCTTACATTGGGGGTCAGTGGGAAGAATGTCCCTTACATTGGGGGTCAGTGGGAAGAATGTCCCTTACATTGGAGGTCAGTGGGAAGAATGTCCCTTACATTGGGGGTCAGTGGGAAGAATGTCCCTTACATTTGGGGGTCAGTGGGAAGAATGTCCCTTACATTGGTGATCAGTGGGAAGAATGTCCCTTACATTGGGGGTCAGTGGGAAGAATGTTCCTTACATTGGGGGTCAGTGGGAAGAATGTCCCTTACATTGGGGGTCAGTGGGAAAAATGTCCCTTACATTGGGGGTCAGTGGGAAGAATGCTCCTTACATTGGTGATCAGTGGGAAGAATAGCCCCGTTATAGACACCTAAGCAGATTGGTGGGTTCATGTAGATGGCTCTGCCAAATGAACAATGCACTCACCAGCAAACTAGGAAGTCAAGCAGTCACAGTTCAAGGAACCTCTGGCAGCTTATGGAGGAACCCTGGTTGAGAATTGCTGGTCAGCCATTAGCTGGAGATATACTGTACTTTAAAGTTTCATGAATTGTTTCTTGTCTCCACTTTTGAGGCTCCGCCTTATTGCTTCATACAGTATTAAGGATGGGGTTCAAGCATTGTCTCACCTCATGAGGACTGAGAACGGCCCATCTCCATAATACTCAGGACAAATATATGACACTATGGGGTCCCCAGATCCTATTTATGGAATCTTTGGATTACAAGACATCCTCTTTTTTTTAAAGCCTGAGAATTGCAGACTTTGCACCCTGATTGAAGGGGGTGGGAGGGTTTCATGGTGTAGCTTAGACCCTTGGCATCCTTAGCTACCCAGAGCTGTAGACAGCTGTGCCCTTATTACACTACCGGGATGGACCCTCCACGCCATGCCTGTGTCTGTCTATCTTGTTTAGCCTCTCATTTCCTTTCCCCTTTGCCTCACCTACTATGGTGGGCCATCATTGGTCCATTCATTTAAGGCCACACATGCTGAGAATCTCGAACTTTGTAGACTTATGTGGGACTTATAACACTTCACATAACATTTCCTTCTGCCATTGTACCTCGTGTCTCACTTTATGCATCAGACTGCTCAGATGGAGGTCTTCATTGTCCGAATGTTGGTAACTCTTATGTTCGCAGTAAAATAATTATGCAAAAAATAAATCTCCAGCTGAACTATAGGGTTTTTTTTTTTAATGCAAACACTCTGAAACTGCAAATGTTGCTTGCAAACTAGCAAATTTCTGACTCTTTTTGTTGAAGGTCCAAGGTGCTATTGCAGGACCAGAGATTCTCTGTGACCTCTTGGCTTCATCTCTGTAGGCTTCACAACCTGGAGGTCATAGGCTATCCGCACCTCCTTAGTATGTCATCATGATCCTACATCTGCATAAGGGTTGTAGTAAATCATTGCAGAGAATGATGTAGCTCAGTGGCCTAACTCTAGTGTTTGCAGCCCACATGGCTCCTATGAGGAGAGGGAGGGGGGCCTGCAAGGGAGGTTGTTGAGCTGCATGTAAAGATAACACAGACCCTGTACTGTATCATTAACCCCGGATCCTGAGCTGTCCTCAGTCACAAATCTCCCTCGCTTTTCCCCATTTGTGAGTTGATTTATTGCTTTTCTAGTCATCCTGGCAATGTCTCTGATATGAACCCTCTCTGCCGTTCCACACTCCAAGATTTTCAAACAAATGAACATTTACACGAAAATTCTCCTTGATGCATTCGATCACATGAAGAATGTCATTCGATAGGATTTCAAAGACTGTTTGCTTCTAACATTGGATTTTGGAGTGAATTGATTTCCCCGATGAAAACCACAATTACTGTTAGATATTCATTCATTCATTCAAGAAATATTTCCCATTCTACTCCTTTGAATTTTCTCATCGCTGTGGTTAAAAATTAATGTTGATTTTACCCCACTAATCATTAGAACATGGAATGCACATTTGTACAACAAATATTTCTGTGATTCTACTTGTGTACGTCCAGTGTCACGGTCAGGGGGTCAGGCTCAGAGACCAGTAGGTATAGCAGTAGAGAGGATCTCACTGAACAGTAGGATAGGTACACAACAGGTCACCTTGGCAGATGATACGGGCTCACCCAAGGTGTGGAGTCTACGCACTAACCGATGTTCACCAGAGCTCCTATGGTGGAGATGGATTTAGCTGTGTGTTAGTAACAGGTCTTGGTCCTCAGGATCTCCCTCCCCAGCTATAGCAGTAGAGAGGATCCCACTGAACAGTAGGATAGTTACCTCACAGGTCGCCTTGGCAGATGATATGGGCTCACCCAAGGTGTGAAGTCTACGCACTAACCGATGTTCACCAGAGCTCCTATGGTGGAGATGGATTTAGCTGTGTGTTAGTAACAGGTCTTGGTCCTCAGGATCTCCCTCCCCAGCTATAGCAGTAGAGAGGATCCCACTGAACAGTAGGATAGTTACCTCACAGGTCACCTTGGCAGATGATATGGGCTCACCCAAGGTGTGAAGTCTACGCACTAACCGATGTTCACCAGAGCTCCTATGGTGGAGATGGATTTAGCTGTGTGTTAGTAACAGGTCTTGGTCCTCAGGATCTCCCTCCCCAGCTATAGCAGTAGAGAGGATCCCACTGAACAGTAGGATAGGTACACAACAGGTCACCTTGGCAGATGATACGGGCTCACCCAAGGTGTGGAGTCTAAGCACTAACCAATGTTCACCAGAGCTCCTATGGTGGAGATGGATTTAGCTGTGTTAGTAACAGTTCTTGGTCCTCTGGATCTCCCTCCCCATCTATAGCAGTAGAGAGGATCCCACTGAACAGTAGGATAGGTACACAACAGGTCACCTTGGCAGATGATATGGGCTCACCCAAGGTGTGGAGTCTAAGCGCTAACCGATGTTCACCAGAGCTCCTATGGTGGAGATGGATTTAGCTGTGTGTTAGTAACAGGTCTTGGTCCTCAGGATCTCCCTCCCCAGCTATAGCAGTAGAGAGGATCCCACTGAACAGTAGGATAGGTACACAACAGGTCACCTTGGCAGATGATACGGGCTCACCCAAGGTGTGGAGTCTACGCACTAACCGATGTTCACCAGAGCTCCTATGGTGGAGATTGGTTTTGCTGCGTTTTAGTACCAGGTCACGGTCCTCAGGATCTCCCCACCAAGAGGTGAGCAAGCCGGGGTCTAGTAAAGATTATAGCAGGTTGGGATCAAGTAGAAGCATAGTCAATAAACAAGACAAAGATTGGTAACAAGTGGTTACAGGTTGGGATCAAGTGGAAGAGTAGTCCTGGAACAAGCCAAAGGTCGGTAACAAGTGGGATCAAGTGGAAGAGTAGTCGTGGAACAAGCCAAAGGTCGGTAACAAGTGGTTACAGGTTGGGATCAAGTGGAAGGGTACTTTGTTTTTATTAGTCTTTAGGCTGTTGGGATTTCACGTGAAACCTTCTAAGGAGGAATACATTTGACTGGTCATTTATGATCTCACAAACCCTGCACTGGGTCCTTTTTGATCTTCTCCTGGCTGGTGAAAAGCTCTCTGATGAAAGAAGGACACTATAATGACATCCCCTAAGAGCGCTATGTACCCCATGCTCATTCACGTAAGGGGGACGCAATATGGAGCCACCCTTATTATTAAAGTTTCAGATTCCAATAAGGCCCCCACCCACAGACCCCCACAACCACTGGGCCAGGGATGTGGGAATGAGGCCCTTGTCAAAATGAGGTGCTCCCCCCCCCCCTTAAGTATTTTTTGCTTGGGGCGGCTTATCTTGCATTGGGTCCTCTTCAGTCCTTTCTTGGCTGGTGAGCAGCCTTCTGATGAATGAAGGACACTATAATGACTGGTGAGCAGCCCTCTGATGAATGAAGGACACTATAATGACTGGTGAGCAGCCATCTGATGAATGAAGGACACTATAATGACTGGTGAGCAGCCGTCTGATGAATGAAGGACACTATAATGACTGGTGTGCAGCCCTCTGATGAATGAAGGACACTATAATGACTGGTGAGCAGCCCTCTGATGAATGAAGGACACTATGACCGGTGAGCAGCCTTCTGATGAATGAAGGACACTATAATGACTGGTGAGCAGCCTTCTGATGAATGAAGGTCACTATAATGACTGGTGAGCAGCCCTCTGATGAATGAATGACACTATAATGACTGGTGAGCAGCCTTCTGATGAACGAACGACACTATAATGACTGGTGAGCAGCCTTCTGATGAATGAAGGACACTATAATGACTGGTGAGAGCAGCCCTCTGATGAATGAAGGACACTATAATGACTGGTGAGCAGCCGTCTGATGAATGAAGGACACTATAATGACTGGTGAGCAGCCTTCTGATGAATGAAGGACACTATAATGACTGGTGTGCAGCCCTCTGATGAATGAAGGACACTATAATGACTGGTGAGCAGCCCTCTGATGAATGAAGGACACTATGACCGGTGAGCAGCCTTCTGATGAATGAAGGACACTATAATGACTGGTGAGCAGCCTTCTGATGAATGAAGGTCACTATAATGACTGGTGAGCAGCCCTCTGATGAATGAATGACACTATAATGACTGGTGAGCAGCCCTCTGATGAATGAAAGACACTATAATGACTGGTGAGCAGCCCTCTGATGAACGAACGACACTATAATGACTGGTGAGCAGCCTTCTGATGAATGAAGGACACTATAATGACTGGTGAGCAGCCATCTGATGAATGAAGGACACTATAATGACTGGTGATCAGCTCTCTGATGAACAAAGGACACTATAATGACTGGTGAGCAGCCCTCTGATGAACAAAGGACACTATGACTGGTGAGCAGCCCTCTGATGAATGAAGGACACTATAATGGCTGGTGAGCAGCCTTCTGATGAATGAAGGACACTATAATGACTGGTGAGCAGCCCTCTGATGAATGAAGGACACTATAATGACTGGTGAGCAGCCCTCTGATGAATGAAGGACACTATAATGACTGGTGAGCAGCCCTCTGATGAATGAAAGACACTATAATGACTGGTGAGCAGCCTTCTGATAAATGAAGGACACTATAATGACTGGTGAGCAGCCCTCTGATGAATGAAGGACACTATGACTGGTGAGCAGCCTTCTGATGAATGAAGGACACTATAATGACTGGTGAGCAGCCTTCTGATGAATGAAGGACACTATAATGACTGGTGAGCAGCC